AGGGACAGGTGCTTTCCTAGAAACAACCATCATTTAATGGATCAAGTAGATAACAGCCCTGTCCTCCAGGGCTTCCATTCTCCCAGGAGTCAGTCACACAGGATGTCACATCCAGGTAGTGTTCTCAGTACAGTCCATGTGACTCCATCCTGGTCTCCTCTGTGGGCCTTCCATGCAGGCCTGTTTCAATTTAGTGACCTGGGTGTATGCTATTGAACACCATCCAGTGCTGGGAGGCAGGGGTGGCCTCAGATCTGGTATCTGCCACAAGAGCAGCTCCCTGGTGGGGACAGTACCTCACAGGCCTTGACTGTCCCCAGCACCACCTCTTCTGATGCCTCCATCTCTGCTCCCTTGGTGGGCTCCAGAGCCCAGGCCTTTTTCTCAGCATGGCCTGTGCCTCCCTCATTCTTCAGGTTCATGGAGTTTGAGGCAGAGGAGATGCAGATTCAGCAGGTGCAGTGGATGCAGAGGGTGCAGGGCCTGCCTCCTCCAGCCCCACCAAAGCCAGAACCTCGGGGACCCAGCCCAAAAAGTGGGCCCTCAGTCAGGTAACCACGTGCCCACTGGAGCTGAACACAAAGGTAACAGGGGCTTAGGGATGGCCACTGTCCCCCCATCAGCCCTTTTCCCTCAAGGGGGTTACTGGTCTTTCACCCTCAACAGCCATCGAGGGGTCTCAGCTGTCCTTTGTCACCCTGGGGTACTGATTTGGACAGTTACAAAACTCCCACCTTCCTGTCTAAGGACACCACATACAGCCTGCCTGAGAAGCAGGCTGGATGGGGAGACGCTTGGAAAATTGGAGGTTCCACACTTGCTCACATGTGACTCTCTTAGAAGCTCCCCCTTACCTCTCCCTCCTCATTCCCCAACACTGTGGGTGAAGATGCAGGTGGTCATGACTCCCAACCACACCCACGTCTATGTCTTCATAACACTGTCTGAGCCAGCATGTGCACTGCGTGGTCAGAAGCTGGATGCAGGAGCCCCTCACCTTTATTTCTCCTCCCGCTTTCCCCCAGTCCGTGTGTGCCCAGGAAGCTACACAGATCCCAGTGTC